AGAGAGAGAGAGAGAGAGAGAGAGAGAGAGAGAGAGAGAGAGAGAGAGAGAGAGAGAGAGAGACAGAGAGAGAGAGAGAGACCCGCTTGATTGTTGTTGACGAGTTAATACAAATGTATCGCCGTATTGGGCATCAGATACTCTGTGTGATTTTTGAATTTTGTGTAAATGTTTTCGGTCTGTGATTTTTTTGTACATTCGTCTTCTTCTTCATTTTTTGTAGTTTCCTGAACCTTTCCCTCATAATTCTCTCTCCTCTCTTATGACTCTCTCTACTCATCCCGCCATCTCTAGCAGGCCTGCACCAAATTGAAAAAAAAAAAGAAAAAAAAACACTCTCTACTCGTTGAATACCCACGGGGTCATCTGACCGCCGTCATCAAGCAGACCCAAATTCTTGAGCCTTCTCTCCGCGTAATACTCGAGCTGATCGAGCTTAGTCAGACGGTCCTCGAACCACTCGAGCGTTTCAAGGAGCACCTGCTTTTCCCCAAGCCGGACGACGACTGCTATTCTCTTGTGAAAACTCAAGTCCGCGTTATGGAACTTGAGCAATTGACGATCTTCGTCGACCGTGGTCTTGTATCTGGACAGCGAGGAACGGCAGCCGTCGATCATTGCCCGGCACACAGCCTCCTCGTTGTCCCGACTGACTGGAAGGTTGACGTGGTCCCAGACCGAGTTCCGGAACAACGCCTCTAGCAGGAATGCATCGGGCCCGTCCAGCGCCATCAGCCGGAGAAAGGCGACCATCTCCGCCGCCGGCTCCTCGCCTTTGGCGAGGGTGAACTCCAGTTTCGTTCCGTTCAGCCCGGCGATGTTGGCTATGTCTTCCTTGTCGTCGAAGAACATGTCCGCTTCGTTGATTTCCAACGTAAGCGAGAACGTTTGACGGTTGACGGACCCGCCACCGCCGGAATTGCTGCCCGCGTCATCTCGACTACTCGGTGGCTGTCCCACCCCCCCAGATTCCAACAGCTCAGGGATGGGCTCCACAAAGCCGTACTCCAGGGCAAGAACAGAGTTGCTCTTGTCCTTGCCATACTCCATTCTGATATGCTCTCCTGGTCGGTAGCTCCTCCCCGCGCGCATCGACACCACTTGCTGCTTGCCAAACAGCCCCTGGCTACGCTTCTCCCAAGCCGTCGGCTTCCCCGCGCTGTTTGATCCATGGTTAACCAAGTCTGCAAGCGGAACGAGAGCAATCGCCTCGCCGGTGAACGGAGGATGAGTTCGCGACCGCAGGATGCCGAACGCCCACATGAATGCCTCCTCGGTGAAGACCTTGCTGTCAAATACGCCAGGGTTCGGCTGAATGACCTCCTGAAGCACCGACGCGAACTCGGCCTTGAGAAACTCGGCGTAACTGAGACATGTTTCCAACAACTGCGACCCCTCGAGCTCGGCAAGCTCGGCGGCGCTCCAGAAAAGCGGCGACTCAAGTCGGTGAGGAAGAATGTCCAAGTACGGCCACCAGAACGAGTCCTCGTTCCTACTCTCATAGACAAGAAACAGCGCCAGCTGCACCCACGGCTTCAACCCCTTGCATAGTGAGCCAATGGGCGAAGACTGGACGGTCTCCGTTGTGATGCACAACGATTCCGGGATACCAAACACCTCGTCGATTGACGAAAGAGACTTTTCAGCAATCAGTCCGATGCGTTCCTCGGGCGATACCCGAGCAGGCCGTGCCGCGAGCTTCGTCGGGTTTATCGCACCGTTCTCGATCAGCCATTGGACGAACCTCTCAAGTTTCGCATCCAGCTCAGAGTCCGCTTCCGAAATCGATCTCGTTGTCGTCACGGACGAGGACGAGAAGAACAATGGCCGGAAATGACGATTCCTGCCCGCATGTTGTCGAGGATGTCCAGGAGGAGGAGGAGGAGGAGATGAGGGCACAGAAGAATGCTCGAACGCACGGACTTCAGGTAACCGCCAGTTCTTCCTCCCCTTTTGTAGCAGCAGACAATTGGAGATCAAGGAGAAGATGGGAGAAGGAGGAGGAGGGGTTGAAGGTGCGTAGCCAAAAGACAACACAGTTGGCTGATGATGGGGTGATAGGGAGAGTGAAGTCGGCGACGAACTGCAATGACAGTGGGCCGGGAAGCCCAAAGAGGAGGACGGCGAGGTCGAGAAGGAGGAGGAGATGGCACCGATAGGATCTCTAGACATATTCACAGTGGTAGCAGTAAAACGGCCGCAAGACGACACAAATGGAGACGATTTACCAGGAATGAAGCTTGAAACTGCCTCCGAAAATGCCAAGAGACGTCCATCGGGAAGAGAAGTGCCAGCACAACTACACGTTGCCATGAAGGACGTCATGCTGTTCCCAAATAAACTGCTCTAGTCAATGGATGCGTTCCCAACATCAACCGGATACGGATGGCCGGTTACCTCCTTGCTGTACGGATCACCACCGACCGACAGATTCGCTGCCCCGCTTTGTTGTACAGACCAGCTCGTGAGCCCCGGTCTTGCAACACGCCTTCGGCCTCTCACTGACGCGAGCAACCGAGCGCAGTGAGACGAGCAATCGTGACGAGCGAAGCACTACTCGGTCCCACCTCCCACCTGCAAGTTACCCGGCAAGCGCATTTCATAGTTCACGTCACAGCGAACACAGCAACACATACACATCAGCTTGTCGCTTGATGAAAATCAGCACCACTCCGCCAGTGGAATGTGTACATGTTCTTCTTAAATCCACAAAGGTGCACACGAGCAGTAGTCGTGGAGGCAGAAGCTGCAGCAGCAGCAGCAGCAGCAGGAGCAGCAGGAGCAGCAGCAGTTCGCATTCCATTCATGAGAAGTGGCTTGTGAAACAAAAAGGCAATGACTAACAACTGGGAAAGCAGCGATTCTGGGACATGGTCCCATTCCTCCTCCCTCCCTCCTTCCTCCTCCCTCCCCTGGAACAGACTGAAGAGTCACACAAAGTGATTGATGTTCTCTCCTCCTCCCTCCTCCCTCCTCCCTCCTCCCTCTTACCTCCTACCTCCTACCTCCTCTCTTCCCTGGAAAGGTAGTTTCTCGACCCGATGCAATCCCACAGCATAATGTACTCTGCACTCGCCATGAATGGGACCATGTCCCAGACTCACTGCTTACCCGGAATAGCACCAGGGCGTAGCGGAGAGGCAACCACGTCGTGGAAACGAGGCCAACAAGGAGGCCTTCAGATCAGCAGGCACACTACAGGACCATCAGGCACGGCATGGGACCAAACCGGCGAGGATTTGGAACCAAACTGCGGACAGCGCGGGATAAAGCGGCACTCTATACGATTGCCAGGCTCGGGGGGGGACCACAGGGCACTGCACAAAAACCCTCTGACATGGTGTGGGATCGCCTCGCACGTCGAGCGACCAACATTCATGTCTTGAGACCGGAAGGCAGAGTGCGGAACGATCGGGCAATGGGAAACAGCATGGGACCACCAGCACACAGTTTGGTACCGGTACCACGGGGTAGAGTGTGGGACAGCCGGCTGTTGGGCCCATGCTGTCCCAGGCGGTGTCCCCATCTGGGGTGCACTTTCTGGCTGTGGCAGACCTTTCTTCTTCTTTCATGGGGGCTTCGATGGCTTCTGCAGTCCCATGCTGTCCCACGCTGTGGTCTCATACTGTCCCATGTCATGGTCCCATCTGGGTTCTACTTTCTGATGGGCTGTAAACAGTGTAAAGATGGTTCAAGTATAGCGACGAAGGTGGGAGGAAAGGAGAAGGGTTCTCGAGCAGTTGCTTGCCGTGGCCTCTTGGATCTACTTTACCTCCCCATTTCATGCTTTCTATCGCTTCCAGACTTTATCTTTCCGACCGTGAGAGCGGTACCAGTACCTACTCAAGAGTTCAAAATATGCGGAAATAACTGCACACTGCAGTTCCAGGCGAAGAGCAGTTACAAACCGAAAAAAAAAAGAAAAAAACAAACAAACAAACAAACAAACAAACAAACAAACAAACCTACCTCATGCTTCCGATGGCCTGCCAGCCAATTCAACAATCGGCATAAATGGGAGGTACCAGTACCGGTACCGCTACAGGTCGTTTTCCCGAGGGCTGGGCCGGGAGCAGGTACTACCGTACTGGTACAATCCTTTCTTTTTTTTTTTTCTTTCGGGTTGGAAAACAACTTGCAGAGGGGCAGGGTTGGAAAACGACTCGCGGAGACCCCTTTTTGTCGTCGCCCAGCCACAGGCATGGCCTAGACATCTCCGTCGTTGCCCAGCCAGGGGCGTGACCTAGACATCTCGGCCGTGGCCCAGCCACAGGCGTGGGGAAAAAAAAAAAGAAGTAAAGATGAGCAACAACAAGTGGCCGCCTGACAGAGTGGGGGGAAAAAAAAAAAAAAAAAAAACTTTAAAAAGGCAACAACGAGTGGCTGCCTGATTTTGCCACTGTCGAAACTTCCGACGGGCTAGAAGTGCACAAAGCTTTTTTTTTTTTTTTTTTTTGAAAAAAAAAAGAAGTGCACAAACTGCCACAACGCTGTTCTTTCTTTTTTTTGCAGTTTTTGACTGCCGTTCTGCCATGTCATCATGGAACAGATCTTTCTTTCACCACCTACCTCCCACTACCCCTAAGGCTACACACGGGACCCCTGCAAGCATAGCTGAGGCCTCCCCGAATAGAACGGGCTTGAGTGTTTTGTGTTTAAAAAAAAAAGGAAAAAAAAAAAAAAGTAAACGAACAGTCTGTACAGTCCTTCTGCTGTGGGTGCGTGATAATCTGCTTTGTCGTTCTTTATACCTTTTTTAACTTCTTTCCCTGGTTGGATTTTGGTGCGACCACAAGTGTTGTGGACCCTCCGTTTGGAGTCCCAGGGACCTTCCGTTTCCCTCCCGTTTGGGGTCCCAGGCACCTTCCGTTTTCCCGCGTTTTGGAGTCCCACGGATCTTCCGTTTCCCTTCCGTTGAGAGGCCCAGGCACCTTCCGCTTCCCCTCCATTTGGAGTCCCAGGCACCTTCGGTTTCCCTTCCGTTAAGAGTCCCAGAGGGTCCCAGACTCCCAGGCACCTTCCGTTTCCCTTCCGTTAGGGGTCCCAGAGGGTCCCAGACTCCCAGGCAGCTTCCGTTTCCCCTCCGTTTGGAGTCCAAGGCACCTTCCGTTTCCTGGACTCCCAGACACACTCCCTTTCCCCTCCGTTTGGAGTCCCGGCACCTTCCCTTTCCCATCCGTTTGCAGTCCCAGGGACCATCATTGACTTACCGTGAGGGCACGGGTGCGCAGCCCACAGTTTGTTTGTTGATGTGGTTCGGGAAGGGCAAGGTAGTGATTATGCTGTATGTATGTTTTGTCATGTTCGCTATACACAACTCGAAGAGAGTGTGTGTGTGAGG